CTGCCCCCTCCTTTGTTCCCTACCTCCTCTCCCCAACACGTTTTAATATAAAACCACAGAAACTGGTGGAATATTTTGGGGGAAGAGGTGCTTTGAGCTCACTTATCCAAACTGGCTAGATTTCAAGCCAACCATCTTTCAACTCTGTGTACGCATGCGAGAGACTGTCTGGTTAGTTAAACAACTGTCCCCTAAAGCTTAGACTAATCAACGGCCCACACTTTTATTCTCCCCAACACGTTTTAATATAAAACCACAGAAACTGGTGGAATATTTTGGGGGAAGAGGTGCTTTGAGCTCACTTATCCAAACTGGCTAGATTTCAAGCCAACCATCTTTCAACTCTGTGTACGCATGCGAGAGACTGTCTGGTTAGTTAAACAACTGTCCCCTAAAGCTTAGACTAATCAACGGCCCACACTTTTATTAATGTTGCCACGAGGAAAAATCAGAATTGTCCTGGAAAACAGCAACACACTCTAAAACACTCCCCTGACAGGTTTGGGATCACGTGAGGATTCCCTGCTTTGTTCACTCCCTCCGGGGCACCTGGCATTGACCACTGTGGGCAGATAGGACACCGGGCTGGATGGATCTTTGTTCTGAGCCCGTCTGGCCGTTCTGATGTTCTTACTAGCTGGAGTCACCCAGCGTTGCTCACGACAGTTGATATAACTGGGGTGGGGAGTCTGAGGAGAGGGAGGGGGAAGGGCGCTGGGGCTGCTGCCGGCACCCGACACCAACCTTAGTGAGCGACTGTCCCCGACGCTTCCCCCGGGAAGCCGCTTCTCCCCGCACTGCCACGCTCCGTGCAGCCCTGGGGAGAGGCATCCATCTCTCATCTCTTCCCTCCCACAGTCCCTTAAAACCTTCTCCTGGAGGACAAATTATCCCATGCAAATTTTGGTTACAGTAGCTCTTATAATCAATGGTTTGAGCATTGGCCTGCTAAACCCAGAGTTGTGAGTTCAGTCCTTGCAGAGGCTATTTAGGGATTTGGGGCAAATATTTGTCAGGGATGGTACTTGGTCCTGCTGTGAAGGCAGGGGACTGGACTTGATGACCTTTCAAGGTCCCTTCCAGTACTAGGAGATAGGCAACCTCCATTAATTATTATTATTATAGTCAAAATGGGGAGGGATAGCTCAGTGGTTTGAGCATTGGCCTGCTAAACCCAGAGTTGTGAGTTCAGTCCTTGCAGAGGCTATTTAGGGATTTGGGGCAAATATTTGTCAGGGATGGTACTTGGTCCTGCTGTGAAGGCAGGGGACTGGACTTGATGACCTTTCAAGGTCCCTTCCAGTACTAGGAGATAGGCAACCTCCATTAATTATGATTATAGATTTAAGACAAAGGAACTCTGTTTTCTGAAGGCTTAGTAAATTAGCTCCAAGTGGGGGAACACTAATTATATTAACTCTCCTGAGGATGTGTGAATTAACATGAGAACTGAGAGTGGAACACAGAACCCCACCCCTAGCCCCCTTCTCCCCAGCCACAGAACCAAAAACCTCAGCCTATATCTGCCCTTTGGGTTTGGGGGGTGGGTGTGCGCTGATTGCATGGTTCCCCTAGGGCGCCAGTTGCTGGCAGCTAGTCTAGAGCCGCCCCAGCTTATAGTATCCAAGTTATTAGAGCACAAACATACCAACATTCTCCTTGATATATTAGATGAACGTAATCAAGGCAGGCAGGCACCTGAGACTAATTAACAGCTTGCCTGAGGCAGCAGGCCAATCAGGCACCTGCAGCCAATTAAGGCCTGCAGTGCCGCTTTAAAAGGGCTCCCCAGGCAGGGAAGAGTTTAAGGAATAGACTGAGGGGCAGGAGGGAGGAAGTGGGTGTGAGGGAGACTGAGGCGTGGGAATGAAAGGAAAGGTGTTGGGAGGATTGTTTGGGGGAAGCAACATTTGCTCAGGTGCCAGGGAGAAGGTACCAGGGGAGTGTTTGGGGACGTGGCCCAGGGAAAAGGCTGCTCTAATGGGGCTAGAGGAAAAACCCCATCAGTTGTTGCTACCTAGGGTCTCTGGACTGGAACCTGGAGTAGTGGGCAGGCCTGGGTTCCCCCCAAACCACTAAACAGGAGGCCAGGATTACAGAAGAGTTTCTCCCCAATCCTCTGACTTTGCCAATGATGAGGAGGGTTCAGTTAGCTGGGGCCCTGGCCTCTAGAAAAGATAAGCGACTGTGTGGAGGGTCACAGCGAGCCTCGGAGGCCTACAATAGCCACCTAGAAGCATAGGACCCATAGGGCACGGATGGAGCTTTGCCACACTAGCCAGCATTGCACAATCCCATGCAAGAATGGCCACCAGACCAGGGGGTCTAGCCCATGATCTTGACTCCATTGCAGGACAACATCAGAGACTTCAGAGGAAGATGCACAAAACCCCACAATCATGGACCGTTGTGTAAAATCCTGCCCTTAATGGAAGTTACTCCCCTGCGGTTAGCGGCTGCTTTGCGCACAGAGACATTAGGCTTTAGAACACTTACAAATTGTTACTCAGGCATATCACAATCACTTCTTTTTTTTACAGGGCCCCAAGGCGCATTGTATAGCCATGTACAGTCTTGGTTGGATAAGTGTTTTATTCCTCATTGGCTCCTGGTAAGTTCTCGGGCTCAGTGCTCTCTGGATCTGGGTTTTCTTTGCAGTTTCAGATGTGTTGTCCTTTGTTTTTGCATTGGCTCCCCCCTTGATCTTATATTATCAGGGTAAATAGGGGTACCCTCTCTTTCTTTTGGGGCTGCCATGCGCCTGGGGGCAGGGCCACTCACACGCTGGGCACCCGGGGGTAGGGCCGCACATACGCCCGGGCGCAGGGCCACCCATACACCGCGTGGCCAGTGCCGGCGCCACCCATGCGCCGCACTCTCAGGGCCAGTGCCGCTCCTGTGCTGCGCGCCCAGGGGCGGGGCCACCCATACGCCACACGCCCAGGGCCGGGACAGCCCATGTGCCGCGTACTTGGGGCCAGCACAGCCCATGCACTGCATGCCTGGGGGTGGGGCCACCCATGTGCCACACACCCGGGAGTGGGGCTGCACCCGATCACTCGGCTGGCGCACAGAAATGGCCCGGCAGGCGCCATGGTGCCCACGGGCACCGCGTTGGGGACCACGGCTCTAAAATGATCTCGATTGATAGCTAGCTAGCGTGGAGGCATGGAATGAAACACAGCACTCCCGATTAATTATGTTCTGGGCTGTTCCCAATCTCAGTATTGTCTGTTCCACTCGTCCGTGTTGTTGGCTTGATTGTTGCTGTCTCTGTGTGCGTTCAATAGCTGTCTTGGCGGAGCTGTCGCTCTGTGAAGCTTACAGTTTATTTAAACAAAGCCTGTCTCATCCCATGTTCTAGCAGCAGCTGCTGTCAGGAGGAGAAGGAGAGACCAGGGGTTCGGGCTCTGGCCTGATTCAGTTTCCTGCTCTGGCGGAGTTTCCGGGTAACTTTGGACAAGCCACTTAGGGTCTGTCCGTGCTACCAAGAGTCCTGCTGTGCCAAGTCCCAGCTCCTTGGTCCATTGACTCCGGCTTGTGGGACTCGCACTGCAGGGCCCAAAGGGCCGTGTCAACATTTCTTCTTGTGCTGCCCTCCAAGACGCTTCCCCATTCCCCGGGCTTCAGAGCCCCACGACTCAAGCCCCGCTCCCCCCGAGTCAATTGAGCTAGGCTCTTGAGACTCAACGCTGGGGGGGTTTCTTTGCTGTGGTGCTATACCTTGAATCTTCCCATGCCTCAATTTCCCCATGCCTCAGTTTCCCAGGTGTGCAGTGGGGACAACAACACTGCCCTGCCTCCCTGTGGAGACTGTCAGGATACAGTCATTACAGTACTGGGAGCCCTATGTACCATAGATAACATCGGTCTCCATGGTTACTAGCTTAAAATGCCTGGATTTCTGGCAGGGACTCTTGGGTCTAAAACTCCATGTTTGCTTTTAAGTTGATAGAGGGGTGCCTTGTCTGCCCACTAGAGAGGACGGTTACTAAATCAACTGTGGCCCCTTGCACTCCCACTCGGGATAGGATGGCCTATCAGCCACAAAGTCTATGTACTACCCTGAACACAGGTTGCAGTAGGGCCTTGTGGCCAGAGTCTAAACATTCTCTCCTGAATATATAGTCCAGCCCAGTAGTCTCCAAGTTAATAGACAGTCCCTCGGTGTTCAGGGTGGTATGGCCCAGCGGCCTCAGAGCCAATATACAATCCCCCTGTGTTCAGGGTAGTATGGCCCAGCGGCCTCAGAGCCAATATACAATCCCCCTGTGTTCACGGTGGTATGGCCCAGCGGCCTCAGAGTTTATACACAGTATGGCCCAGTAGCCAGAGTCAATACCATAGGCAAACCTCCCCATGTGGGGGTATCTGAGGAGGGAGTAGGTGGACCTACTGGGGAGCAACCAGTTAAGCAGTAGTTCTGCAGAAAAGGACCTGGGGATTCCAATGGATGAGAAGCTGGATATGAGTCAACAGGGCGCCCTTGTAGCCAAGAAGACTAATGGCATATTGGGGTGCATTAGGAGAGCATTGCCAGCAGATCCAGAGAAGTGATTATTCCCCTTTATTCACCTCTGGTGAGGCCACATCTGGAGTATTGTGTCCAGTTCTGGGCCCCCCACTACAGAAAGGATGTGGACGCATTGGAGAGGGTCCAGCGGAGGGCAACCAAAATGATTAGGGGGCTGGAACACATGACCTATGAGGAGAGGCTGAGGGACTTGGGTCTGTTTAGTCTGCAGAAGTGAAGAGTGAGGGGGGATTTGAGAGCAGCCTTCAACTCCCTGAAGGAGGTTGGATATTAGGAAAAACTATTTCACTAGGAGGGTGGTGAAGCACTGGAATGGGTTACCTAGGGAAGCAGTGGAGTCTCCATCCCTAGAGGTGTTTAAGTCTCGGCTTGACAAAGCCCTGGCCGGGTTGATTTAGTTGGATTGGTCCTGCCTAGAGCAGGGGGCTGGACTTGACCTTCTGAGGTCTCGTCCAGCTCTATGCTTCTATGTTCTATGACCTGGACCCTTCCTCCCCACTGAACCCCAGCCCAGGGCTCTACCAGCAGTGGAGCAGGCCACTGCTAGCTCGGCAGGGGATCCCACCGCAACACGCCGACCTGCAGAACAATTCCCCACCCTGGGCTGCTTCCTACCAGCATCCCATAGGCAGTCCCCTCCGTCCCTCCACTCCGGTCTGGGGGCTTCCCCTGTAGCCCCTCTCAGCCCGGCTGCTGCTGCTTGGTCCGACTGCGCTTCCTCCCCTGGTGCTCCCTCAGCATCTCCTTCCCCTGTGGCAGTCATCCCTGACTGAGCCTCTCCGAGGCTTTTATAGCCAGCCTCCAGCGGGAGCATGCCCAGCAGGGCTGTGTGGGCGGGGCCTCTGCAGCTAGCTGGGCCAGGTTAACCCCTTCAGGCCCAGTGCAAGGTTGATACACCCTGTCATGACTGCTATTGGTTGAATAATTTGTTTTTCCTTTAAAAAAGAGGCATCTCTGCGGCAGATCTAACCTCCAGGGAAGTGCTTGGCCTGGGCTTTGAAAAGAGAGTTAGGAACCCAAATGGCCTTGAATTTCAGCCGGATGTGGGCACCAAAGCATCTGAAACCCCTTTGAACTTCCCAGTGCCCAAGCTGCAGGGCTCAGTCCTGGGAGACCCATCGGCTTCACAGGACTTTGTCAGGATTCAAGTCAAGTTTTTGATCCAGTTAGCACTGCAGATAGCTGGGGGGCAGGGGTAATTACTCCACACTGGAGAAGGAAGGGTTAACCTCACACGCTGGGCAGAGGAAACCACGCCACCTCACCCTTGCTGGGCATGGTCCAACCGGAGCAGTGTTTCCCAATTTTATTTGGCCACGGAACCCTTTTCAGCATAAAAGAATTTCAAGGAACCCCTAGGGCTGCCATGGTAAAATTTGTCAAGCAAAAATAAAAAAGCCACACAATAGACTCTGTCTCTTTAAGAGGGGCGGGGGAGTGCCACGTTCTCACGGAACCCCAGGCTTCCATGGAACACCAAGTGGGAAACACTGAACTGGAGCATCGGTAAAAAATGGAGCAGCCCAGGTCAGGTGCGTGGATTGAGGGGGAGAGAGGATGCATGTTGCAGGCTCCCATCTGGGAGCTGTTGGAGCCCTGGCTACCTGCAGCCATGCATTGGAAGCTTCAGAGGCCGGAGACCCAAGGGACCTGGGGATAATGCCCTGGGAAGAAAGGGGGTAGCCCTGAGAGACTAGCCAGTGATCTGCTCAGAGAACAGAAAACTAAGTCAGCATCTTTCAATCTGCCCCCCTGGTAAGTACACTCACCGCTGACATGGTCCAAGCTTGGGACCCACTGGAGTAAGGAGGGCCCAGGTACCCTACCCCGCCCACCCCACATCTCCTCTGGCCATTGGGCGACACAGCCCTGTGAGAGAGGGGTGCCCTGTTGAAGATGGCCGTTGGGCAGCTCAGCCCTGCGAGGAAGGGCAGCCATATTGACTGGCCAGTAGGTCGTACCATGGTCAGGCTGAGGGAGGTCAGGTGGACTCAGCCCTGGGGCTATAAGGCTCCTTTCCCTGCCCCAAAGTGGGGGGACAGGGTGTATTTGTCCTGTGACAGCAGCAATGATCCTTTCTTAGAATCATAAAACACTAGAACTGGAAGGGATCTCAAGAGTCATTGAGTCCAGTCCCCGGCCCTCACGGCAGGACCAAGCACTGTCTAGAGCATCCCTGGCAGGTGTCTGTCCAGCCTGCTCTTAAATATCTCCCGTGATAGAGATTCCACAACCCTCCCTAGGCAACTTATTCCAGTGTTTAACCACCCTGACAGGTAGGGAGTTTTTCCTAATGTCCAACCCAAACCTCCCTTGCTGCAGTTCTTCCTTGTGTATTGTCAGCCAGCTGGCCATGCCCCAGCAAAGCACTTAAACACGTGCATCATCCATTCCATTCCCTGCAGGCTTTGAGTGGTAGGCGCCCGAACGGCTGCCCACAGTGGCTAGGTTTGATTTCTGTGGCTATACTGGAGATGGAAGTGGCTGAACTGCAGATAAATATGAAACACTGAGGCGACATTTTTACGGCTGTTTTGGTGACCTGTACCACATTGGAATCCTTCTCCATCATGAAAGGAGCCTCGCTCTTCCTAGAGGAGTCTCCCACCGATGCTTATTTACGTAACACTTGTGCCACTGAGACACACAGGGAAAAGCATTGAAAATGACCCAACTCTGCAGAAAATAACTCCAGACCTCATGTTCATGAAGCTGAATAATGTCCGTTTTCTACTTCCCCTGCCAGTGTTAAAAAGGATGCATTTTAAATCTCAGACTCTAAATCTCTGTCCTGTCTTGCATTTTTGGATCTCTTCGGTCATAAAAGTAGAGGTGAATTGGAGCAAAGTTGATTTTTTAGGCTAAATGTTGTAGGGGTTTTATAAGCTTGCTCCTCGTGGATGGAAATTTTGACTCATTTTTGTCTCTGTTTATGAGCAAAATTAGTTTGCTGGCTTCCATCTATGCCTGGCCTTGTTACAGTTGGCCTTCATTCAGGAGATCACAAGGAATGGGCAAGTAGGAGAACAGGCCAGGAACTAAATGGTTCGGAAGATGTCTTTAGGAAATGCTATTTGCATAACCTCCCACCCACAGGGGGCAGCACTTTGCACAGGAGTGGGCAATCATTTTTGCAGCGGAGCCACTTCATCAACTTGCGTACGTGGTCGGGCTGGCTCCACCCCCTCCCAGAAGGGGCAGGACCTCAGGCGGAAGGGGTGGGGCCTCAACAGAAAGGGGCGGTTCCCTTTAGGCACTGCTTGTCCCTGGTGGGGGGAGGAGACTTCACACGCACACCCAAGCCAATCAAACCCTGGGAGCAGAGGAGTGCGCAAAGTCTAACTTAGCTGCCTTTACTAGGAGGCTAACAGTCATCTTTCCTTGGCTTGACCTAGGCAGCCATTTTAGTAGCCCGTACCTCAGAGCTATTTGCCTTGAGGCTAGCTTGCGTTCCTGTGTCAGACACAGAACTACCCCCCAGCATCCTTCGGAAGTTCTGCATTGAGACTGGAACAAAGCGTCACATTTGTGATCGGCCATCACCGCTGTCCCTGTGCTTCGTGCCATAGCGGCATCGAACTTTGACAGCTTGGCTAGAACTTGGCTCCTGCTGATTGGAAAACCCAGCCACCAAACTGAGGCTACGGCTACACTGCCGTTTCTTTCATGGAAGAAGAGAGGCAAATCGCGCTCGCATTTGCAAATCTTCTTCCAATTCTTTTTGAGGAAGAGGTTTTGCTGCTATTTGGCCCCGTGTAGATTGAGGTTTACAGGGTCTTGCGAAATAGTTTTTTTTCCCCCGACATTTGGCCCTGTCTACACGGGGCCAATAGGCAAATCGCGCTCACATTTGCATATCTTCTTCCACAAAAAAAGGGCAGTGTAGCCGTAGGCTGAGTGAAAGGAGAATCTCCTTTAATGGTTAGCAGCACGAGGCACATGACCGGCGGTGAACATAAGTCCGGGTACTGCCCTGTTGATACCCGGGTCCCTGCCAGCTCTTTAAATAGCTCCCTTCTGGCTTTTGCTGCAGCTCCGCCCGCTCTTGCCGGAGCCACGCACCAGGGCGCAGGCGGTTCCTTTCACCTCTGCGCATGACGCAAAGTCAAGCAGCTGCAATTCTAGTGCGTGGATGCGTATGCGTTAGTGGTCTGTTTGCCCATGCACACGCACTTCCTTTACAGTGCTCTTGCACTGGTTTCGATGCAGTACGTGTTCTGCCGGGGGCAGAGGATTCACTCAGGGCAGTATCAATCCATTTTGGTGCCATAGGGTGGCTGCCTTTTGGGGTTCCTCTTGCAGCATCAGAGTAGCCTTGCAAATGATCCCCTGCCTTCATTTCCCTCTTGCAGGCACTCTCTGACTAATCCCCTCCTCCCGAAGGCCAATTCTCCGCCATATGTGTCCGGTATTTTTTGGGAGACCATCTGGCACCCTGAGGCCTGGCTAACAGTGGATGACACTTGGCTAATATAAAGCAAAGCCAGGCTGTGAGCAGAGACCTTTATGTTAGCCAAGTGCTGGCCACTGTTAGCCAGGCCTCCGGCCTCACACCAGGCCTGTGCTACATGGACTTTTATTTCAGGCCCTCCTCTTACTCCACCAGCTGCCTTCCTGCTTTCACCAGGTGCTCCCCGGGAACTTCCTCCCTGTCGCTCCCACGGCCCCTCTGCCGAATGCTCACTCTAGCTTCTGAACTTTCCTTTGCCTCTCATGTATAACACACGGTGGGGGTGGAGAGAAGCCCCATATTCCTCCCTATGCCCAACGAGGACACACCTGGACTGGTCGGTAGGGTTACCATACAGCCAGCTTTTGCCGGACATGTCTTCCTTTTCGGTCCTTAAATCTCCGTGCAGCCGGGTTTTTTAAAGATCTAAAGATGTTCTGGATTTTTCCCTCCTCTTTTTCAAACAAATGTCAATCTGTTTATATAGACCCCTGGAGCAGCCCACGTGTCCCGCCCAAGGGAAGCTCGGAGCCCTGCCCAGCCCAGCCCCGAGCTGCGTTCTAGGGTCTGCAGCCACAGCTGGGAGATCCCAGCTCCTCTGCGCTCTCAGGTGTACCCAGGGGTGCTCATTTGCATACCCACGATGCATTGCTCACGGCAACCTGAATCCCTGGCCCGTGAGCTGGGTTTGCTCCCGACCTCTGGTTCCAATGCTAAAACTCGAGCTTCCAGCGCACTCGTGCAACAGAAAAGGGGGGAGGGTGTTGCTGGCTGGCGTGTCCTCTTCTTTGAAAGTTCAGAAATGGTCACCCTACTGGAAGGCTACGTCTATACTGCGGAGCTAAAGCTGCAGAAATAGCTATTCCGCGTCTTAAGAGCAAGCCCGTTATATCGGAATATAATGAGCGCGCTATTCCGACGTCCCTGTAAGACTCACTCCACGAGGATTAAGGGACATGTCGGAATAGCGCTGTATTTAAGAATGTGGCGCTGTGTGGACAGCGCCACATTACACAATAAGCTATTTCGAAATAAGACCGGAATAAGATATTTGCATCGCTCCAAGCATGTCTCTTATTTCGAGGTCCAGGTGCCGTGTAGATGCCCCCAAAGAGGGGCGCTGCACCCGCTTGTTACAGGGGGACTCGAAACGTTTCACACCCTCGCAATGCAGGGTTTGAGTCTGAGGAAAGCTTGTCAGTCGGATTTCGCTTCACAGCACGTCTGCCCCATTGGCGGCAAGTTCAAAGACGGTGCTTTCGTCGTTCCCTCGCGCTGAGACAGGGCTGAGTCGGCAGAAGATCAGAGGCGCAAAAGGACTGTAAAAAATTAACGGCCAGCCTAATGCGAGGGAAGTACACTGTTTCTTCTCCCGAGAGCCCTGGTCGGCATGCAGAGCTAGGGAATATCTTTGAGGAATCCAGGGAAAATATGGCCCCTGGGGTTTTCCTTTCCAGTCACTGCTGGGCTTTCAATCCACATCACCGTTCTTTAGGATAAAGTGGGTTGTGGGGAGGGGGGTCCCCTTCTCCTTGTGATGTATGGAAATGATTTCTGGATACATTCTTGGGGAAAAGGAGCGTCTGTCACCAACTCCTTCCTCTGGGCTGGCCACGGTGCTGGGACGCAGAGTGCCAGGGCAGGGAAACCATTTCCTGAGGCGGCTTGTCCGGTTGGTTTCACGGGGGCAGGATCTGGCCTGAAGGGAGGAACGAACACCCAGCCCCATGAGGCAGCCTGGGTGGTAGGACGCTAAGCATAATGGGCTCTACATTGCAGGCCCTGTGCATGCCCAGTTAGGCTACGTCTAGGCTGCAAGCCTCTTTCGAAAAAGAGCGTCTAGACGACAACCAAGACTTTCAAAAAAGCAAGCTGCTTTTTCGAAAGAGAGCACCCAGGCTGTGTAGAGGCTCTCTTCCAAAAAAGCCCAGTTTGCATCACATAGTGCATTTTTTCGAAAGAGCACTTTTGAAAAAAGGCGTTCTTCCTCGTAAAACGAAGTTTTCCGTGGTTGAAAACACTGCCACGTTCTTTCGATTTACTTTCAAAAGAACTCGGTGGCAGTCTAGATGCAGGGGAAGTTTTTTTGAAAAAAGGCCGCTTTTTTTCCAAGAAACCCTGTAGTCTAGACACCCCCTTACAGAGCAAGATGTGTCTTTTGTATGGCCAGAGTCCCTCTGGGGCAGTGTCCAGTGGGGACATGCGGCTCTGGTGTGACATGGGGCTGGTGAAGCGTGTGCGGGTTCGGCCACAGCTCCAGCACAAACACATCAATGTAGCCCCCCCCCGTGCCCACGCCCCGAATCGAAACCAAGTGTACGTTTTGCACAAGGCACACACCTACCATTCAGGTGCAGGGGAATTAACTGCGAGCCAGCGACTAGGGAAGGCAATTGAAACAAAGCATACGAGAGCCAACCCTGCAAGCTTTCTCCTGCAGCTCATTAGGACTGCTCGTGGGAGCAGAGGTTTTGCAGGATTGGGCCCTAGGAGAGGAGGTGTTGATAGAGCCTGGGGAGATCTGGATTTTGTTCCTGGCTCTCTCGCTGGCCTCAGGCAAACCACATCATAGCCCTGTGCCTCAGCTTCCCCACCTGTAAAAGGGGGTTAATGCCACTGGGCTTCTTTGTAAGGTCCTTTGAGAGCTGTGGGTGAAACGCACTACAAAGCCAGGGACTGAGTGTAAGCCATTCTCAGCTTGTTTCAGGGCTGGCTGGGACAGGTGTGGTAGCTTTTCCGTAAGCACTTGTCTACCCACACGTTCGACTCTCGCTGTAGTTAAAGCAGCAGAACCCCCCGGGTGGATGCAATTACACGGGTCGAAAGGGGCTTTTACCGAGGCAGCTTGTTCCCCTAAACCGGTGGTTTTCAAACTTTTTTTTCTCTTGACCCGGTTGAAGAAAATTGTTGATGCCGCGACTCAGCAGAATGTGTCTGGAGTGAGGGAAAGCTTTGGGGCACAGGAGGGGGCTCTGCCTTTGTGGCCAGCATAATTATATCTTTTGGGCTCTGGCGGGGGCCAGGAATGTAGGAGCCGGAGTATAGGAGGGGGATCCAGGTTAGGGGGAGCCTCAGGACTCAGGCAGGAGATTGGTGCTCACAATTGGGCTTATCTCCAACATGGAGGGGGTGTGAAGGCAGCTTCCTGCCTCTCCTGGCCCTGCAGACCAGGCTGCACCCCAGCAGCAGGCTCCCAGCCAGGGGGAGAGCGCAGCTAGTGCTCAGGGTAGGGGCAGCGCACAGAGCCCCGTGCGTTCTCCTCCCCCCTTCCACCGAGGAGCCGCGCCTGCTCGGGTTGCCAGGTGCCAGTTTTGAACC